GCGTGTTATTTGGCTCATCTGAAATTACATGATCTTCAATCCTTTTATTTTTGCATGATGATGTTTTCTGTAACTATTTCATTGTAATCTTCTTGTTTTTCACATGGACTATCGAAGATAGCTTTCCTTACTTCCTCTGAAGTTTCCAATAACAAACAATTTGTACTATAATGCAATCTGCAACAATATTCACATGTCAGTCTAATCTCTTCATAAATAATACAATTGATACTTAATCTTTTTGGGAAGCAGTCCTTATCAAATGGTATGGGTTGATTGTATCCCCATTTTTTAAGTTCATGTCTCAAGAGAAATTCTCCAAAGAGCATGTCGCCTTTATTTAAGTCGGAATCGATCATTGTAAATTTTGGATCTCTTGCTTCTTTTTATTTCCTATCAATGGAGCAAAAAAATACAGGTAAATCCATGAAAATGACGCCAAAAACTAGTTGTTAATTTTTATATTCCGCAAGTGTACGGATTGTAATAAGTAATAAAGTGTATCTAAGAGTCTGGATATCATTTCCACTAGGATTTCTATTTAACAATTGGTCCACTTATTTCTAATTTTAACTTGATAAAAAAATGACTAATAAATTGTGTGATTGATATCTAAATTATTCTATCCGTGGTAAATTCATTTCTGGAATCATAAGATAAAAATATTTTTTTGATCAATTATTCACTAAATTGGGGTTTATCAGGACCAATGCTACAAGCTTCTGGAATACAATGGGGCTATTGCAGCCGCTGAAGCAGCTATTGGATCGGCTATTATAAACTAAAATATCTAAAGGACACCACATATCAAATTTGGATTTTAAAAGTACGAATATGGATGCTAGAACTTACAATTTTACCTATGGATCTCCTTTAATTCGTCAATCAAGATTCATTACTGTTATAGTATTCAGTTGAATTCTTCTAAAATATTCAATTTGCTCATCTTGAGTTCTCATTGAGTCTATTTAACTAATTCTATTCCATATCTCTATGCAAATCAACCTTAGCTAAACAAAATATTGGTTTTAAGAATTCATTTCTGACCGTAGTGATCAGTATAGATATCTCTACTCCTTGTACCAAATTATCAAATTTCACTATGTGGTCTAAATTTAAAACCTACCTCTCGAGTCGTAAAATATTTACAAAATCATTGGATAGTTGGCAAAATAATTCAAAGAATTAAGTACATAATGAAAATCAACACATGTTCATTTAAAGAACTTGAATTTTGAATAAAATAAAAAAGGGTCACACATAGATTACATCGTTCGCTCTTGCTATGAATTTAGCTACTCATAATAATGAAAAAATAAAAAGTATAGGGTTCATAATCAATTTTAAAATCTTGATCATGGAAAGAATTGGATCTTACACCAAGAATCTTCTTCAGCATCAAAAGTCTTCAAACCCTAGTTTTTGCTCTTTGATCTCGATGATTATGTGTTTTTCTCTTTTAAAATTGTGTGGAACTCTCTTTGATCTTGATGATTTTCTGTTTTTTTGTTCCTAAATTGTGTGGAAGTCCATCAAAAATGTCAAAACTTGTATCTATAGCTGTCTTCAAAATTTTGATTGTTGTAGGGTTTTTACGAGCTTTAAAAGAATCAAAATTGTGCCTAATCTATATTAAGCGGCGCCTAGGTACCATGAAGTGGCACCGTAGCGTCGTGAAGATAGAGAGGTGGTGCCTAGGTGCCATGTTGGTGGCACCGCGGCGACATTTCTTAGAAGAATGTCAGCACTGTACCTACTTTAGTATTTTTATCATAATATTCTCTCTAAATATCTAATTGAAGTGATTCAAATTGGATTGTTAAGATAATTCAAAGGGTTACAATTGTAGAAGTAGTTCTTTTCCAATTCGAACATTTGCTAGGCCAAAAGTGGGCCTTAATTTTCGGTTGGAAATGTGGAACATCCTTGTGCAGCTGAAAATTGATTTGAAAAATATTTTTGCCATATTTCATTCATTTTGACTTCTAAGACCCTAGCATTCTTAAACCTTCATCTTGAGGTTCAACACAACTTTTTAATATTTACACTTTAATCTCCCAAACTTTGGATCTTGCTTCCTTTTTTTTGTGCCAATTTTCGCTTATTCCACTTTCATTTATCGAGTTTCACATAATAAACGAAATATAAAACAATTAGGTTTATAATTTTTTAAAGAATTATTAAATGTCTATATTTTTTGTAAAAATAAGTGTATAAAATACACCTTTCACATCAGTTTTTCCACTCTATATTTTGTTATTTCCAATTGTTCATTTAAGAGTTAATTCCACAAATTGTCATCGAACATTGCGAAAAGTTTTCAAGAGGTCACTGAATCAAAACTTCCTTTAAATAGTCACTAAACTTTAGTAGAAGTTTTCGGGAGATCACTGAATTTTAAAACTTCCCTAAATAATCACTGAACTTTGCAAAAATTTCCTAAGGGATCACTAAACTAGTGATGTATGGGGTTTCAATTTGCAAGGTTGAGTGAGTTCCTAGGAATTTTTTGCTAAATTCAATGACTATTAGGGAATTTTTGAAGCTCTGTGACCTCCTGGGAACTTTTGGCAAAGTTCAGTGCTATTTAGGGAACTTTTGAAATTTAGTGACCTCCTGAAACTTTTGGCAAAATTCAGTGACTATTTGTGTAATTAACTCTTCATTTAACATTCTTTATGCCATTCTGTTAATCTTTTTGTCATCTAGAAATTTATTCTCTATCAATTTTTATTAGAAGTGCCAGAAAAAAATTTGGACAATTAATGGTGTTTTAGCTATCCCAATCAAGTACTAAGCACTAAGGGCCTTCTTGGGAGCTTGGGGTACCAGTTATGAGGTTGTCTTAAACAATCGATTTTGAATGTCTATGAAAATTTTGATTTTTGATGGCTTTAGTTGTGGATTCAATTCTCGTGACAAAATTTATAAAAGTGAAATAACATATAAATTATTAAAATTTTTATATTATCAACAAATGTTAAGTACAAAGTCATCGAAATTTATTTGAGTAGAATTACCATATAGGAGACATGGAAAATTTGGAGGAGTAATTTCATCAAGGCAGGTTAGAGTTGATTTGTCACAGTGTCATAAACTGGCCTTTATTGTTGTTCCTATGTGCAAGATGGAATGCTACATACTTTTCAGCAATGTTTTTGGAAGAGCACATGATATATACAGTAATTATCCCTTAGATTCTAGGGCGTAGTACCTAAAATTAGAAAATTTGTTCCTTTCTCAATAAATATGCTAAACGTGCATGCATACATACATGTTACGAATTTGGACCAGATTCCAAAATAGTGTGTTTGAAAAGACTTAAGCTTGAAAGTGCAATCAGACGGAAGAAGAGAAAATTGATTATATCCTCATTTTAAAATAAATAGTTTCCCCTTCTATGTCCACCCCTAAATTGTCGTATGGGAAACTAGAGTAATGGAAAGAGAAAGGAGTGAACTAGAGGGATTTTGATGATGAGTTGGTAATAGAAACCGATGAGTTGAGAAATCTAGCGACTAAGTGTTGCAGAAGTAGAGAGTGGCAAGCCGGAGTCGGTGAGAGGGGGTCGAAGATATTGTAGTATGAGAGGATTCAACATTCATAGCATGCGAATTTGTGATGGTCAAAATGGACGAAAAACATTAATTGTACATCTAACTCTACAAAATTAAAAGATTGAGTACACAAATATCGAGAAATGAAGATTAAGAACGATATATATAACCCATAGGTTAAGGACCTCCGTATGTGATTCTTGAAGGAAAAACTCTTTTGTACTTGATAATTAAGATTTTAAATGGAGTTAGTATATTGATATTAAGTTTGTGGACTTCAAATTTTGTTGAGTATCTTTCGTTATATATATACACTGTAAACTTTGAAAAATGTGAAAAATATACATTGATTAGTGAGCTTGTCAAAAAAATGGGCGATGATCAATTATACATTCGTTTTCTCTAGATTTCTACCTAGTGGAATCCCCAAGTGGAGCGTGAAGCATTCTATGTTAAGTTGAGCGTCTTCTTAGTTCTTGTCGATCTCTACTTAGTTGAGTGCATAATTGTGACAATACCTTTTGTTAGCATCTAGGCCAAATCTCATATCGTTTCACGAGTTAAGATTTGCTGTTCAAAATTGACTGTCCAACTTATTATCCACCAATGTTTCACTGATACATCATTTTACACATATTTTTAAGCACAAGTAGTAGTGAGATAAAAGTTAGACACGTTAATTTAAAGTAATGCGTCAATAAATCATTGGATAAACAGCAAGTTAGTTAGTCAATTTTTGACAACAGATCTTGACTTATCGTTTCACCAGTTCCTCATTGATTATATTGTATTACATGAAAATCAGCCTCTAAATGTTTAAGTTAGGACCTTAACTCAATAACACTTATAACAGACCTCATATATTAATCAGCTCGACATATCTCGTCTTCTCCAAGTTTTTCTACTGAGTTGAAGCCCCTCATTAGAACTTAATGTCAATTTCTACCTATTCCTTGTAATTGGATTATTCAATATAAATTTGTCCAATAAAAATAATTTAAAATTAAAGTATAGAGAAATGATTTAATGAGTATCGGTGCTTATCTTATTTGAAGTATCGATGATGTGTCATATTAATTCATTAGCGTAAGAAATGATCAAACCAGCATCGATGCTCATTTTATCCTAAGCAACGATGATGTATCATCTTAATTCATTGATGGTGATTATCGTATCCTAAACATCGGTGATGTGTCATATTAATTTATCAGTGGACGTCGATATATTAATATGACACATCACCGATATTTAAGATAAAATGAGCCTCGATACTTATTAGATCATTTCTCTTGAAATATATTTATACATGTGCAATTATAAACAAATCCTTGTGTCAATAAAAATGTCATATATACTTCATCTTGTCCTCTCTCTCTAGACCAAACAAAATCAAACTATATATATATACTATTCTTTTTGTTTTAGCACAAGGATCATGAAAGCTTATGTAGGAGTGTTTTCTCGCCTATACAGATAGGGAAATTGGAATTCCCAACCATATATACATACTTTACACAACAGTGTCTCCCACATAGCATAGTAGCAGGAAAAATGTCTAACATTTTGGGGAAGAAGAAGTTGTACCTCTGCTTCTCCAAATTCAAGTGTCTACCCACCCTCACTCTATCCCCACCACCCACGGATGAAGAAGAAGAAAACGAGAATATCACAGCCGCCCAACTGAACAACCCTTCATCAGTAATCAAGAATTTCAACTCCCTCTATGATTCCAACTCAGGTTCAATCTCCAAGTCTCTTACTTCCTCCACAGACAATTTTTTCTCTTCATCTGATGATTCTGATGCTGATTTGGTTCCTGATTTTGCTACGGTTTTCGCGTCCCAACGCTTCTTTTTCTCCTACCCTGGCCGCTCCAACTCCATAGTTGAGTCCACGGACGGGCCGCCAGGGCCGGAATCTGACACGGTGGTTAACGGTGGCATTGCCGTTCAGACTTACTCTCCGAACCCATATGCTGACTTCAGAAAATCGATGCAAGAGATGGTCGAAGCACGAGAGTTTACAGATGTTAAGAATGATTGGGATTTCTTACATGAGCTTTTCGTGTGTTATCTATCCTTAAACCCTAAACACACCCACAAGTTTATCGTTGGCGCATTTTCAGACCTTATCGTAACTCTCATGTCACCCACGGCCAACAATCCACATGAGTGACATGCGATTAGTAGTGATTCCGACTTCATGTGAGTTGATCTTATTATTTTTTATTTTTTAGTTTTCAACTCTCTCTTGTGTA